TCTAAAATATCCAAGTATAATTTAAGGCAAAGTGAGTTCTTATTTTATATAGTTTGTGTTACTAAATAACGTATGATTAGAAATTTATTCTAGGAGAGATAAGTTTTAATTCAAGACATCTATAAAGTACATTCTATAAACAGAAATTAATTTATAAAAGTATAAACTGTAAGAAACCAAAAGAAACATGGAAATGATAGTATATTTTAGGCCTTTTCTTATTATATAGTTGAAATTGAAAAGCCAGTTCAGAGCTTTTGTCATTTTGGTCATCCATAATTACATCAAAAGGACTGAGAAATTCTGACAGACCGCAGGATTTTACCTAGGACTGTGGTGTACACTGCTTCTCTCCTGTAAGTTTCCTATTTAGCAATTTAGTCAAAGGCTCTCACTGAGAGTCAACTGTAGTGCTCCGTGGAAGTGAAATATTTGCACGTCGTGGCCTATGTAATCGTGGGCTGCCTTCATACAAATAAACAGGATTTGTTTTGTTTTCCTAGGAAGGGAGGCAACACATCTGCATCTGGCTGCAGACATACACACAGACCACACGCACGCATGCACACACACACAATCTTTTCAAACACAAATAAAGGTCTCTAATAAAACTTTGGTGACAGACATGCAGCACTCAGAAGAATTCTCAGTAATCAAAAAGATTCTGGATGTGAGCCCCAGAGGAAAGATTCTGTGCTATAGGTGGGAGGTCTGGGGGTTTTTGGAAACTTCAGAAGCAAGAGGTTTGCAGACATCTTTAACATTATGGCTGAGTCTCTTTTGCCTTCATCTTGCTTCATTTCCCTTCACCTTAGTTTATTCTCTTTTCTTCCCATAACTGTTTTTAAATTTTTTCAAAACTGCAAATTCACTATTGCCACCAACTCCCACACTACAAGCTGCAAAACCTCTCAGTGAATAATAACATACATCTGTAACCAAAGATGACAGTGTCTTTCAATAATTTACTCATCAAAAGTGTTGAAATAATATTGACCAGATATGATGAAATCGGTGATTGTGAACATTTTTCTCCTTAGAAATTCTGTGAGATGGCTTTGAAATGTCATCAATATCTCATCTATGTTAAATAATATTATTTTAAAGTCTCTTCAGAAATCCTTAATTTAACTATATTTACAAATAGTTTTAGTAAAGAGCAAAATGATATATCATCATTCCATCTCCCTGAAATTACTGGGGTAGTATTTAGTTTCTAGCAGAATTAGAATGAGGAGAACGAAGAATATTACGTATTGAGATAATGCAAAAGGACTAGTCTGCAGGCAGAGTGATGTCTCACTCATCTGAATGTCTGTCAGCAGCTATGGGGAGATCTTGAATTAGAAGCAGTCACTTCAATTGATGAATCTAAGCAGAAAATAAATCTATCAGCATTCAAGAGAAAAGTTACTAATAACTTCAATTCTAATATAGAATACTGTAAAATACATTAATATAAATTATAAAGTCCTGAGTGGCTATTTTCATAAGCAAAAACTTAATAGTCACATATTTTGAAAAATATTCTGTGATGAACATTCTTGTTTTCTTTTTTCAAAGGGAGTCCAAAGCCCCAGATCCATTAGTACCACCCATTCTTTTATTCATGGTTAAATATGGTTGCATACAACTGTTTATGGACTAGCTGTCCTCATTGATCCCCACTCTCCAGCAGAGTTAGAGACCTGACATCAGTCTTATCCAGTGGTAGTAATAACAATACTTACTATTCATTGAGTGTTTACTTTGTGTCAGGTACTGTTCACAGCATTTTACAGGTATTATCTCATTTAGTCTTCACAACAATCTTTTGAGTTAAGCAGTATAATTATTTGTATTTTAAACACAAAAAAATTGAGGCACAGAGAAGGTAAGTAACTTTCTCATGGTCACACAGTAAGTATGAGGTGGAGCTAGAATTCAAACTGATGTTCTGAGTAGAGTCCATGCTTTAGGCTAGTTGTAACCATCAAAATTCCTTTTGCCTCTGGAAGATGACAGAGTTCCGCAAATTGAAGATGAGACTAATTATATGAGTTCTTTTATTTATTTCTAATTAAACTAAAGGGAGGAAAGCATGAGGTACGTCTCAGGGGTTGTAGTTTTATGTCAAAAATACAGTAGTTTCAGTTTTTGACATTGATAAAAAACTAAGAACATCATAAATATTTATGATCATTATCTATTTTGAGAATTCTGATTTCATATAACAAGTAACACCTTTTTGTTTTAATGGTAAGTTAATCGCTGTCCCCAGGTGATTTTTGTATATAGATAATACATTACAACTTTCAAGACACTAAATTACAGCTATATCATTAACCTGATGTATTAAATGGTACAGGTCAAATCTGCGGGATTGAATCTTATTCTGTTGTAATTTTACTGTATCATATGTTAACTTAAAGAAGTCAGCCACTGACAGGGCACGTTTATATGGACTGTTCTTGGCTGGTTTTAGTGGCATGGGATTGGGCCTCCCGCTTAGTGGCTTTAAAACTTCCCTGAGGGGCCGGCCCCGTGGCTTAGCGGTTAAGTGCTTGCACTCCACTGCTGGCGGCCCGGGTTCGGATCCCGGGCGCGCACTGACGCACCGCTTCTCCGGCCACGCTGAGGCCGCGTCCCACGTACAGCAGCTAGAAGGATGTGCAGCTATGACATACAACTATCTACTGGGGCTTTGGGGGAAAAAATAAATGAATAAATAAAATTATTAAAAAAAAAAAAAAAACTTCCCTGAATATTTTACACCCATCATGATTTAGTCATTTAACAACAGATTTCTTCAGATACCCTGAGAAATGTCTAATAAGTTGGTCTATGCGTGGTGGGGGAGATACATGGCCTCAAAGAGCATATTAAAAACCCAGGGGGTAGACAGTCCGATTTGTTTCCTGGTAAGAAATGTCCCTCACTCTGAAAATCACTGTGAAGAGACAAGGTTTCTGAAAGGATTGTGTTGTCCACCTCAAGAATGTCAGGGCTGAACAAGGTTGAAAACTACTGGTGTTGCTAATGTAAGGATAAAGGAACTGCCTCGCAAGGGCCCCCCGCCAATTAAAGGCAAGTATATTTCCAGCATTTTCATTTTTACAACTTTCCTTAAGAAGGTTCCAAAGGGACTTTATTGCTTCTATATCTAGGGGTTGCTTCTGAGGTACACTTTTGAAGGAATTAATGGCTGTAAATTTCTTCTCTGAGAAATATTTAAATAAGTTAACAACCAGTATCGTTAAATTATTTCATTAACATCTACTACAGGGGTTTGCCAAATTATCTGACCTTTCACATTAAAATTTGTTTGTTTGGAAAAGGGCATGGTTAAAAAAAAAAGGGTGTGGTTTAAAAAAAAAAACAAATAAAACAATTAGCTGTCTGTTTAAAAGATTCTGAAATGCTCTTCATTCTAATACAGCAAATTTCTGGCAAACCTAGCATATTTCTGCCTACCTTTTTTCAGAGAGCTCCTACAAGGTAGTCAAACTGTAGACATGCTGTCTTGGTTGAGATGTGGTACATTCCTAGATCAACTGAGAATATCAAAAATCGGCCTGCTTGGGTCATGGAAGAATGCTTTCGTGAGCTGTATTTTGGCACTGGGCCTTTGGATTACACTGAAACTCGCTAAAAGCACAGCCTTTCAAAGTCCCTTATTACATTAACTCTAAGGATATTATAAGACAACTGACTGTTCACTAGATCATTCAGTGGTCCCCACTGAAAACCCCACGTGACAAATTTCTTTCAAATTAAGTGCTAGGAAAAGCTTTGCTCCTCCCTAGAAGAGCTGGTATTTGTTTTTTCCTTAAGAACAACCATTTAGCTCCGTGTTTCTCGGCAGGGTTTTTCAGCATTTTGGGTGGAACAATTCTTGGCATGTGGGATGTGCTTCCCCACGACAGCCATTTAGTACCCCTGGCCTCCAGACATTAATGCCAGTTGGGCACTCAGGCACTGTGACCACCCAAACTGCTCACACACTTTTCCAAAAGCACTAGATGAGAAAACACTAAATAAATTGTTTATTTCCTTTGTTTTGTCTACCAGGAAACTCAATCAAATTTGCCATTTAAAAAAAAATATGTGGGGAAAACTATTATGTCCTTTATATCTGCATTCTAACTGTCTCCCAGTCTTGCACTACCAGTTTAATTTATATTTTCCTTGGACCTGATTTTTATTTTGTATTCTGATTTTACTGTTAAGACAGTCCAAATCCTTTGTCGAACCAGATGAGGTACAAGTGAATGAAGACAGCTTGACAGTTCAGAGGCATTTTCCCCCCTTCCTTCTTAAAAGTCGTACTAAGTTGAAACAAAGTATCATTGTTGTATACAGTACACATTTTTAACTCCTATACATAAAATGGTAGAAAAACTACTCCACAGACACTCAGCTCTTAGGAATTAATAAAGAGTAATAAGCCAAAGACAAGAAAATATTTTTTAACACTGTGGATGAAAGTGACTATGTATAAATAAAATATCCCATTTCTATAAAGCCTTATTTCTACCTAATAGCAATTTAAAATGAGAAGAGCCCTTAGGAAGTATTTATTGTTTTTAACATTATAAAAATCCTTTTGCTAAAAATATAAATTCTATATGAGGCTAGTTTTTGCATGGTTCTTCATTTTAGATGGAAAATTTTGGAGGAAATCTAATCATACATTTTCCTTTTTCCATATGAGCAGAAGTGGTTTTGGTTTTGATTTAACTGCACAATTCCCTCAGATTCCTCATTTTTGGCAATCTTTATTGATGGAACCTATTAAGCAACTCAACATTATTAGGCATTTAGATATAGATTTGTTTTTTAATATAAAACATCTTTGGTGACTACAGTGTGCCCCAAATGGTATTCTGTCTTTTACACTTATCTGTGTGTCACCTATAGTCTTAGCAGCTACTTTTGAGGGAAGATTTAGAGAAGATCCTATTAACTTCTGTGAAAACGAGATAAAAACTAAAAATGACATTACTCTATGCTCTTCTTACCTTAGAAGTGCAAACAGCTATGTTAGCAGGAAGCTGGGAAAACTGCTTCAATTCAAATACATCACGTGCTGCCCATCGGCTCATGTGGTTTTCAGCTTTGCTTGATCCAATCACATTCTGGTTTGAGTGAATGTAAGCCACTTCCTGAACACCGTCTAGGAGGTAATCGATGTTTAGTAAGTGATGTCTCATTATGAAGCAATATGGTTCCATGTATACTTTAAAAATTATCAGCAATACACTAAAAAACAGGTTATGCTTGTTTTAATCTTTAAGAAAAATATTCATTTTGTATGTTAACATTGCAATACTATTTTTTAAAAAAACTGAAAAGAGAAAGAGTTGAAACATATTGGTCTAGGTTAACTTAGAAATGACTTTTCCCTCTCATCAATATGAGAACTTCTGAGATTAGATAACAATCTTTAGATTTAAATCTGAAATGAGGGTTTTGGCCAAGTAAGTCATGGTGGAGGGTCGTCTCTATGCATTTGTTGTCTCTGTTGATTTACAAAAATTGTTTACTGCTTTAAAGAGCAGTGCTGGCCTCCTCTGTTCCTTTAACCACGTGCTTGATGACACCGATGGAGTGGGAGCAGGGGTTTATGACCAGGGAGTTTCGTTTGGTTGGCTTTGTTCAGTTTTACTATTTGTATTTTGTCTTTTTTTGTACATATGCCCAGAGAATGTCAAGACTGGGAGTGTTTTAGGAAATGAAAAAAATTAACTTATAGCTTTTATCTGAAAGAAGTTTAAAAAATGGCTACATTTTTATTGCTTTGCTTCTAGGCACCTATAATTTACTTTTCAATTGTGGTCATAAAAGAGAAGGCTAGAACTGAGGTCTGTAAAAGTTCCCTCAAACAGCTCTGGCAATGACCCTTAGTTACGACCTTCAACACTTGTGCTGTTTCAGTCCTCAACCTTTCTCAGCCAGAACTGCCAATCATGAGCAAACAAGATGTTGTTAAATAACATGACTAAAAGAGCAACTAAAATAATATTCTCCTGAAATTTCCAAACACTAGGTAGCATGTATGGCAACAGTTTAAAACCTTCAAAAGGATTGTTCTGGTAGAAAATTTACTCAGATCTTTCTTAATTTTAATGACGTATTTTATGCATTATTTAAAACAGCATTAGTTCCACACTAACTATTGACACCTTTTATACAGTAAAAAAAAAAAACACACACACACACACACAAAAACAAAAAACACTCAGCTGATTATTTAAAAAGTAGTTTACGCAATAATTCCTCAAACCTAAACCTAATTGTAGCACACAAATCAAAGGATATTCCAGTGCTTAGTTACAACCGCATCAAAATATATATCATAATGATCTTCTAAATGAGAAAGCTTTATTTGTAAATAAGTCAACACAACGATTAAGGTTTCTATATCAAAGTATTTTTGCTTATATATCAGCTTCTTTCACATAGTTCTTGGAGAATGAGTCACACACTTTTGAAAGCAATGCTAAGTCTTAAAGTCACTAAACAGATTCTCAGTAGACGGTTGTGGCAGGGGAAGGAGTTTTCCAATCTCTCTGAATCCCTACATGAGAATAGACAGCAAAACCAAGAGCCATGGACAACTCTTACCACAAAATTAGACGACAAGAGACCCCTATGAGCCCAAGCAGGTGGGGACAATCCTCCAACAGCTACACAGGGTCTATGTGAAGGAAGAAGGAAGCAACAGGGTGGCATCTGATGGACCTGAGAACAGGAGGCCCAGAATAGAGAACAGGTATTCACTGGAAAGCACAATGGCCACCAAGAGAACAGCAGCTAGATCTGGGAAGGTCTTCTGCTCTCCAACACTGAATGGGTACTGGGGGCTCATGGGAAGAAGGCCTGAAGGGGCTGGCACAGGCTAGCCTTCAGGAACTCCCAAACAGACCCACCAGGGCTCCTGCCCAGGTCAGGGCCACACAATGAGGAAAAACTGCTGGGAAGGAGTCAAAATGAGGAGGAGAGGAAGAACAGGGATGAGGGAAAGAGACGGTCTAGAGCAAAGTGGGGGAGAGGGAGAGAGACAGAAAATTCTACCATAGTTTTGAACACTATACAAAAATAATAGACATGGATCTCTGTGAAATTAGAAAAGATTTCCTAAACTCTGCCTCATTTAAAAAATTCACAGGAGATAATTTCTATAAAAATGAGCAAGAGGGTCAAATCTCACAAAAATTATTATAATAGAAAAGAGAATAAGCAGAATAATACTCCTACAATGAAAACATGCCAGAAAGACATACTCACAAAACAGATTAAAACTGTAACTAATTTCAAAATGAGGTAAAAGACTTTTAAGAAAATGATAAGATACAGGAACCAACAACATAAATTAGAATTAGAATAACTCAGAAATGAGCGACAGAACTCAATAAAGATATACAAGTTAAATATATATACAATGAAGACTAAACTAGAAGGAACGTAAGAGCGAAACACAGGAGATAATGCTTTAAGAGAATTAGAAGGAACTTTTTTAAAAGCAAAAAGAAATGAAAAAGATAAAAAAGGATTTGAGAGAATGTGACAAATACTGAAGATAAGCAAAGATCAACCATTTGAGTAAGAGGAGTCCCTGAAGAAGAAAGCCAAAGCAAAGGAATAGAACATGTAACTAAAAATACTAGTACAAGAAAGTTTTCCTGAAATAAAAACCAAGTTGAAACTACACTGAGAATACTGACCCAGAATAACCAACACTGCTATGGACTGAATGTTTGTGTCCCCCCAAAATTCATGCGTTGAAGCTCCCAATGCAATGGTATTTGGAGGGTAGGCCTTTGGGAGATAATTAGGTCATACAGGTGGAGCTCTAATGAATGGGATTAGTGCCCTTATAAGAAGAGACACGAGAGAGATGATTTCCCTCTCTGCCATGTGAGGGCACAGCAAGAAGGCAGCCATCTGTATACCAGGAAGACGGCCCAAACCAAGAATTTAACCTTACTGGCATCCTCACCTTGGACTTCCAGCCTCCAGAACTGTGATGAATAAATGTTGTTTAAGCCACACAGTCTGGTAGCTCATTACAGGAGCCTGAGCTGACTAAGACAAACATTAAAACACAATCTAGTAAAATTACTGAATAATAATGAAAAGAAAAAACCCTTTGGACATCTAGGGAAAAAAAAAGAACACGTGACACACCACTTGACGCCAGAAGAAAATGAAGCTACGTATTCAGGATACTTAAGAAAAGAAAGTGTGAGCCAAGAATTTTAGATCCAGCAAAAATGACTTTTAAGTATAAAAGTATACTCTTTATAAAGAGGATAGACTGTTATCAACAAGAATCTTGGGAATATTATTCTCACATGCACTTCCTTAGAAAATACACTCAGACGACCAAAACAACTTGAGAGACATTGACATAAGGACTGAAGGGAAGCATTAAACTTACAGTTATCTGCAAACCAAGGATAAATGAAGTCTAAGAGGGGGAGCATATATAATGCAATGTTTGTATGTTCTGACAATGTAGACATAGTATATCCATTTTAAAAATGGGAAGAAATGTGAGTGCACATGCAAAAAACCCTTAATGTTTTCAGGAATCATAGTATAGTAGTAGTGGTATTTTTATTCTTTGACTTTTGTGTAATATGGGATAAAACAAATGAGTAATTATGGGACATTATAACTAAATCATTCCCTATATGCTTAAGAACCAGGATTATCAGGATAGAAGAAATAGTATACAAATGTGATAGAGATGAGGTTAAGTAAAAGCTCTATACTCTCAAATTAAGTATCAATGTAAATATAGAAGTATCAATATAAACTCATCAAGTATTTTATCACCATATATAAAAATACACATATGTACATAAACATATATACAAATACATACATATAAATATAAACATATATATATAAATATGTGTGTATGTACATATACACACAAATAATCTGTCCAGTGAAAAGGCCCAGAAATAATAACCAAGCTAGTAGTAGCAATGATCATTCCTAGTACCAGACTGTGGTCTGGAAACATACTGTCTCACTAAACGAAACCAACACTTTTTGGAGAAACGACTAATTCTAGGTCTGGGGCAGAAAATGTACAGATGATCCTGGAACATCTTGTAATACTACATACCAATCAAAGATGATTAGCATCATATCAAAAGGTCTCAAGAATCAAAATGCTCATGTCCAAAGGCTCTCACTGTCCAAAGATGGGACAACTGAGCCTCAATAATGATATTAATTACAATGCACTGACTCATTAAATGTGTTTGAATCAATTAATTCATATGATTTTAAGAAAAGAATGGGCCATCTTCTAAGGATGATGGGGAATCAATTTATTATACTAAAAACTGGTAAAGATAGGAATTAAGTCTTTTTGCCTTCTCTGTATGAACTGTACTACTGGGTAATAGCAGATGAGAAGAAGTATCTCCTTACGGAAGCATTCTAACAAACAAATGAAAAAGAAATAAGAGAAGTAGAAAATATCATTTTGCTACTCTGAATGAATAAATAGTTACAGGCATTAAGCATCATTGGCTGCCAAGATTACAGAGACCAGCAAACATTTTGTGCCTCCCATAGTCTTGCCAAACTTCTGTCAAAGGGATTGAACCTCAAGTTGATACAGCATCAGGAGCCAACTGCTCACTTGCAGGAAATATGGGGGCAGAGGAATACATTCGACTGCACCAAGAGTACACAATCAGCAAAATGCAAATTGAGGAAAACTCTAGAGATGGCCCAGGTCCTTCAACAGATAAATCCTAAGGAAATGAAAGGGATGGAAGAGGAATCCTGTAGATCAAAAGAGACTATACAAATTTTTAAAAATGGGTGAGACTAAACTATTATGTCTAGGGATAAACATCTGTGTGACAAAACCACAAAAATGCCAAAAATTAATTACTATAAAAGTTAGAATAATTAGTATTTAGGGAGGTAGGGGGGCTGTGATTCAGATGGGGCACATGGAGGGGGTCCTGGGGTAGATGACAGAGCTCTCTCTCTTGACCTAGGTGGTCTTCCCTTTATCCTGCCACCCACCCACTTCCTCATTTGTGCTTCAATATAGTATGTTGATTGTAGAGCTATTTTACAAGCTAATTCAAGAATTTCTTATAGAATTATTTGATTGCACAAAACAAATATGGAAAGAAAAGTTTTCAGAATGTATCTGTACCTAAAAATTTATCCATCGATTCACACATCTTCCCTGGATTGACAACTCTCTCATTTGAAAATTTCATGGGTTTTCTTGGTATGAAAGTGCTATTTTTCTTATGGCTAGGCAATTTTGAAGAGAAACTGATTCTGTCTTTTACAGTTTTTGGTCTATGGCTCTGTTTAGCATGGCCAACAGATACATCGTCATCTGAGGACGAAAAATCATCAACACTCTGCGAGTTACAATCTTCATCTGTTGCATCCTGTTGGTTTGTTTTCTTCATTGTGTTAGGAAAAGTGTCAAGTTCTCTTTTATTTTCTTTCTTTCTCTTAAACCTTAAAGAAGTAGTAGCTCTTTGCTTTCTTACTCTTGACTTGGAGGAAATTTCAATGTCATCAGACTCGTCACTAATATCACTACTGCCTTTTCGTTTCATAATAGGTTTCAGGGTCATGTTCTCAGGATTTAATTGTTTTGAAATTAGTCCATTTCCTCTGACATCAGTCTTTCTATCAGCACCATTATTTCTCACTTCAACAGGGTTTTCTGTTTCAGAATCTTCAGATCCATCCACGGGTGGTTTAAACCTTATACTATTCTTAGGGACTCTCTGAGTTGTATATTGTGTGGGAAAGATGACATCACTATCTTCTGATTCTGTGACATTCTCTAAAATGCAATGGTGGTCAGCTGTATTTTTAAAATTTTTCTCATCATCAGACTCAGAAGAAATATTCTGTTCTAAAATCTCACTTTTATCAAAAATGGATTTTTCATTTGGATTTAGGATGCTGGCTAATTTCTGATGTTTTGAAGTACCAAGAGAGTCTTGACTTTTGTGACAACCAACATCTTTGGCTTCTGTTGAAAGGCACATAGGGTGTTCATCAGAACTTTCATCGTCAGAGGCAATATTTCCATCACTATCCTCAACTGCTCTACACTTTGTCTCAAGCAGTTTAGAGAAACCACACTGGAGTAAGGTAAGCTGTGCGGGAGGACCTGCAGCTTTACTTGAGTCACATGGTTTGTTTTTAGCAGTCTTTAGTCCTGAGTTTCCCACCGCCTCATCATCACTAAAATCACTGCAGAGATCACATGCTTCTTTTGCCAGCAGGTCTGCAGGCTGTTCTAGACCTCTGTGTTCTTGACAGTCAGCCTCTCTAGGCTATATAAAAAGCAGTAACAGAAACATTAGAAAATGTCAAGATAATAATATCAAACTTATCACACTGGAAGGAAATTAAATTTGGGCAAATAATATATCTACAAGTATATCACTTAGTATTTTCTAAAAGTACAGCATTTAATAAACAAATGTAAAAGATTTAATATTACAGTCTGATACACTCTTTTCTCTTTTCAAGTTGAATAACTTTAAAAAATAAAGTTTAAACTAGAATACCATGTGATCAAATGATTTATAAGAAAACCACAGAGCAGAGTGGTCAGTTTCTAAGATGCAGGGGCTGATTCTGGCCTCAAAAGTGAAAAGCACACAATTTATTGCTTACTGTAGTCCAGCAGATACTTCCAACCATGCTTTAAGAACAAAACAAATTTGTAGGAGTTAACAAAGTAAAGATTTCACAACTGGAAAATGGTTCTAACTGTTTAAAAATAAGTATAAGATATGATACAATCTTGACCACTAGAAACAAAGAAAACATTGAAGATACTAAGTAAAATTTGCTACAAACTTAAATACAATATTTATTTTATTCACATCAATCAGAACTAAATATATCCTTCTGTTTCTTAAAACTGAGGCTTTAGTAGCAAAAGATTTGGGGAAAGTATTATCCAGTAATACTTCTGCCAACATTTGATATTCATGTATTTCTATGAATTTAGAAAAATATTCACCCCATTTTCCAAATCATTGGGCTGGTATAAATTTATAGTTAAATCTCTAAAAACAAACAAGAAAAAAACAGCAACAACAATAACAAAAAACCTTCTCACATATTCTTTACTTTTAAAAAGGCCTTGTGATAACAGTATAGATTGTGCAGAATATGAGATGAGAAACTACTAAAAAGATCACAAGATCAAGGATTCAAATAAAATAAAATATCTGCTTGAGTCAGAAAATGATTTTGATGTTTGGATTTAATAATCTTAAACACATTGCTATTTTTCCATTTAATTTGTTGTTTAGTAAAAAACTATTTAGGTTGGATTGCTCACCTATACAATGTGTTTAATTTTAACTTACAGTTTGGTACAGTTAAAATTTCAGTATAAACGTAAATGCCTGATGATTGCTCCTGAATTTGTTTTTATGACATGAAATGTTAAATTAGCCTAAATTATTAATTTTACTGACAGGCATCTAACTTTTTGTCTTCAACTTTTTTTAAGATCTTTTCTTTACACATTGAGAAATAAAGGAAAAAAAAGAAACAAAATTTTCACAGTACATGTTTTCTAGGAGTTCTAGGCTACAGATTCAAAAGTTGCTTACTGTTTCTGTTTTGTGTACTGGTGGTTCCTCTTTCAACCAAGTTGTGGCTGTCATTATCCCTGCTTCCACTCGGCCTTCTCTCTATAAAGAATGCAAACAACTGTGTAAAATACAGGGGAAAGACAACCAGATACACAAAAGCAATGGCATGCTAAACTTAAGGAAGGACAACTGAGTGCAGCTTGCTTTAGCTCTCTTAATGCTATTTTTCAATTTGCTAATTAAGGAACTCATATACAGTTTAGAAAACATTTTAAAATACCTGTAATTCTTAGGTAGTAGGAAGACACAGTGGAAGCGTGCTGGGCCCATAAAATATTCTTATTTCTTGTCTTAAAGCTTACTTTTTCAGATAGAAAACTAACTATATTTTTCAACCAACTCTACTAAAAGCTCTAGTAGGGAGAGAGAGTGAAAAAATGTCATATATTTACCCAGTAACAATATCCATAAGAACCATGTCTATGTAACAGTTATAGTAAGGATATGTTAGCAACATTTCAAACAACCACAGATAATGTTGAGTATTGGGAACTTGATATTCTAGCCTATATTGCTAGTGTATTTATTATTCATATTCATTAAAATACACTTATTGATTCCTTCGGTGTAGCAGACATCAAAATAAAAGGGTCCATCTAATATGAAACTAAAAAAAAAAAAGATCATTATATAACAGGCTTGCTACATCTTTTGGGAAAGTATTTATGCTTTTAAAGCTTTTGGTATACCATTTAGCAGAGGTATTTAATGGCCTAGATTCTAGAATATTAAATTCTTCTTCAAAAGGAAATCAATTTATTTCTCATTTTAAGGCTTTATTTGTTGATAGAACAAGGGAAAATACTACTACTATCACCACAGTTACAAATGCCCAACTTACAAATACAGAGATATACCAATGGCCTAGTATCCAGGGCAATAAGTGAGAATCTCCCATACAGAACTCTAGAGAATGATAAACAGTTTCTGAGTTGCCCTGAGAGCTCTTCTCTCAATGCCTAGAGGCTATTACTATAAGGGAATGGGGAGCCTCCTTCCCAGTACTGCCTTTTTTTTCTTCAACAGAAGCTAAATGGTCGCAACAGCTGCAACTGGCAGCACCAGAAATCCTCAAGCTGTCAGAATCCCTTTATGATAGGTAAATGACAACTCCAGTCTTCTGTTGCTCAGGACAAACACCTTGGAGCCATCCTTAACTCTTCCCTTTTTCTCATACCCTATATCTGATCCCTCAGCAAGTCATGTCAGCACCACCTGGGTAATATATACAGAATCCAGCCACTTCTCACGCCATCTACCACTATGACACTGGCCCAAACCACCATCATCTCTTGGCTGGATTATTGCAGTATCCTCCTACTTGGCTTCTTGCTTCTGCTCTTGTACTTGCACGTCTAATTCTTAATATTTAGTCTAGACAGTATAGACCAGATCTGTCATTCTTCTGTTCAGAACCCTCTAATTGCTTTTTGTCTCAATCAAAGTCAAAGTCCCGCGGGCCAGCCCTGTGGCTTAGCGGTTAAGTGCGCACGCTCCGCTGCTGGCGGCCCAGGTTCGGATCCCGGGCGCGCACCTACGCACCGCTTCTCCGGCCGTGCTGAGGCCCTGTCGTACATACAGCAACTAGAAGGATGTGCAGTTATGACATACAACTATCTACCGGGGCTTTGGGGGGGAAATAAATAAATAAATAAAATCTTTGAAAAAAAAAAAAAAAAGTCAAAGTCCCTGCACGATCTGGCTTCCTGTCATCTCTCTGGCTCCATCTCTGGCTCTCTTGCTTACTCCACTCCAGCCACTCTGGCCTCTCTGCCATTCGGAAATCATGCTGGACATGTTTCTCCCTCAGAGGCTTTGCATTTGTTCCTCTGTCTAAAACACATCTTCTGCCCTCATCTCCCGAAAGAATCAAAGGCAAGCTCAGTGAGTGCTTCATTGGCTACTCCATCTAAAATTGCAATGCTCTTTCCTTGACAGTCTCCGTATTTCCCTTCCTCACTCTCTTTTTTTTAATTGAGATATAATTTACATATAACACTGTGTACATTTAAGGTGGACAATGTGTTGATTTGATACATTTATATATCTCAATATGATTACCACTGTAGCTTTACCTAACACCTCTATCAAGACACACAATTATCATTTCTTTTTTGTGGTAAGAACACTTAAAATCTAGTCCCTTAGCAATTTTGAAGTATATAATACAGTACTGTTGAGTATAATCACTAGGCTGCGCATTAGATCTTCAGAACTTATTCATCTTCTACCTGCTCTATTTTTATCCTTAGAACTTATCATCATACTATACTATATGCTTCACTTACTTTTTCTGTTTATTATTTGTCTCCCCCAAATAGAATGTAAGTTTTTTGCAAGCAGTATTTTTTGTCTATTTTATTCACTTCTGTATGCCTAGCTCTACGATGTACAGTACCTGACATTTAGCATATATTCAATAAATATTGGTGAAATTAACTCCCAATATCTATCTTTAAAGGAAAATCATGATATAGACAACAGAAAATCAATGCAAAATAGAACTAAATTGCCCAGAAGTAATCACGTTAAAAGTGTTCTATAAATTCAAATTTCTACATCTTAAGACATTTTAAAAGAAATTTTCTACAACTTTTAAAAATTAAAAATGTGTCACAGGAAGTGAAATACTTCTTTCACTTTATAATATATGCTTCCACTATACAGGGCTTGGAATAATAATATTTTAAAACATCATTTGGCCAAAATGAGCATGAATCTAACCAGGTTTGAATAATTTTAAACTCTAGTTGATACAAATGAGCAATTTTAATTCAAAATTTAATTTAGTAATTGAATGCCAATGATGTGCTTACCAAGAAGTTGAGCACCTTTACCATAAACAAAATATAAGAAACAGAGGGTCCTGTTATTAATAAACAATCCTGGAGGAAAAACAAGATATACTTAGGACAACAAGAGAACTTTCCATTTAATAACTTGTCACTTGTTTAATGAAGGTGGCTATTCTGATAAAATAGAGAACTAAGCTATTTGATATATGGCAGAAAACAGGATAAGTAATATATTGTTAATATATTTTATTTATTTAATTATTATTTTTGTGAGAAGATTAGCCTTGAGCTAACATCTGTTGCCAATCCTCCTCTTTTTGCTGAAGAAGACTGACCCTGGGCTAACATCCATGCCCATCTTCCTCTACTTTATATGTGACTGCCCGCCACAGCATAGCTTGACAAGCGGTGGATAGGTCTGCACCCGGGATCCAAACCTGCAAACCCCGGGCCGCAGAGACGGAGCATGCGAACTTAACCACTACGCCACCGGGCTGGCCCCTATAATGTTAATATATTTTATAAAAAATGATGTCAAATTAGAAACATGAATATAGGCTGGTATGTTGGGTGGTACTCTGAAATGGAGGTAGGCTCTGAGGGGGCCTGGAGGACAAACAAGGCTATTGATTAGAGAAGAGGATGGGAAAGAACAAGTCCATGAAAGAAACAGCATATTCAAAACAACAAAAAGAAAGAAAGGGGGACCGTAAATGGATCGCTCAGTTCAGAATCAAATAGTCACTATAAAATAAAAACTCAGCAGTATACATCAGACATGTATAATAGTTATAACACTCACAGGATACAAATAATATATAAGTTCCTCTTCCCCATCCATCAGTGGTCACTCGAATTGTTACTGAACTTGCTTAACATGTGCTAACTGATGTTATGTGTTCATTATGTAAATATTCTTTTCCACCTCCCATCAAGATGGTCTAAGTTCTCTAAGTTCCTTCAACTGTTTTTATGGTACTTACTAGATAAATGAAGTACATTAAGGTTTTACTAAAAAGTCCTGGAAGTTAAGGGAAATGTTCTTAAGTTTTCCAAGACTTAGTTTCCTCATCTACGTGATGAGGGGGTTGCAAAAGATGATACTGCAGGATTTTATGATACTCATATCAATATCAACTAGAAAATAAGTTAATATCCTTAGTATTCTGGTATATTAAAGAATTTAAAAGACTTTTGTTAAAGGATATAAATATCCTGTTTGAAGAATAAGAAACATCTGTATGCTGAGGATGAACACAACCGGGAGAGCTTGAAATACTGGTGTGGAATTTTTATTGGGAACAGAAAACAAAAATCTCCATGAGACATGAGAGTGAATCTCAGGGAGTATTTGGTAACTTTTAATCAAAACACATTTTATACTTTTGTTTATTTAGGAAAGTCTCTTTTTTTAGTTCCTGACTTCAACAGCTGTTTTCAAAATAATAAATTTCTCTTCGCTAGTCTGAAAATGGCCTTGGAAGTCACGCTATCTAGTATATGTATCTGTATTTGTTTGTGTACCTTATTTATAACTACACATGGGAAAATCTTAGTTTAGAGGTACAACAATTCATTTCCTATTTCTCTAAACGTAGACATTTAAACAGAAAGCATTTTTTATAAGTAAACCAAAAATTTCTCTGAAAAGGCACCAGCAATTATATTTTAAGTTTCCTGAGAGAGAAAAACCGTGTTTAAAATATTGAAAAGGTCAGAGAACAATTTCATACCTCCAGGATGTCCCTGGTAAGACAAGACCCTTGGGACCTTAGTTTGAAGAGATTATAGACCCCAAAAAGCTCTCCTCGATGCTCTTTTGATCCCTGAACTGCTTCAAAATATCGCTTGGCATTTTCACTTCCAACCACCACACAGTGAAGTTGCTAAAACAGAAAAAACACAAGGTATTTTTGAAAAAGTGTCTGCTCCAACAATATGTCAGAATTTCCTGGCATTCCCTGTATATACACAGCTTTAGCTAGAGCAGGCAGAATCTCCTTAGAGAGGAAATTTTAATTTCCCTGGCAGATGTTGCCATTATGATGAAATAATCATAATCTGGCCAGGATTATTGAAGAAGAGATCTTATATTTCCTATTTTATCTGTTTTCTACCAACTGAGTCAAGATCACATCTCTGTGGAATATCCACCTGATGTAAAATGTTTGAAAATAAAGGCAGACATTTGAATACACTTTTCTCCTTTCTAGACTCTTATTACAATAGGAACTACTAAAACTGGCAAAAATAATCACTACATTACCAAAGTTAAATTATAATCTAAAGTAATTATATGATAACAATGTTGGTGTCAAACTAATTTTGGCCATGGTTACATTGTCAACTAATAACAAAAACCCAGTCACTGTTTAGAAACATTGCATCTTTGAAACAATTGTGAATATAGAAAGAACACTGACATGGAACCTTTAAGGACATATACCACTTTAGCGTCAACATTAATATGCTTCTTTCTTTATTGGATATTTTACTAAATGTAATGTGAATACAATCCGATTAACCCCATGTACACTTTAAAATTTCTTGGAAGAAACAATGCACAGAATAAAAAAATAACTTCAGTTTACTGTTGATGGAAGGATTAGTAAGAAGTGATATTTTATTGTGATTTTCATCCGAGTTGATTTCACTGTAATAAATTACTCTAGGCAACTAAAATTATTCTTATTAATGATAGCTTCTATTTATTGCTACTATTTAGCTGCTACTTGCTACATGTGTAGCATTTTTACATTCTCTCTTTTAATCCCTAAAACCCTATAAGATATTATTTCCCTTTTAGAAATAAAGAAACTTAAGTTTAGAGAAATTAAGTGCCTTGCTTACAGCTGCCCAGCTAGGAAGTGTAATTTCTAGAATTTATACCTGGGTTTAGCTGAATCCAAAATTTACACTTGTAATAATTTCTCATCTTCAGGTTGTCCCTCTCAAAACAAGACCCTTGAGACCTTAGTTTGAAGAAGTTATGGATCAACATACTGACTTGGTCAGTTTGATATCAATGTCCCAGAAACATGGGCTATAGTCCTGGGAATACAGAGTCACAATAGCAACTGACGTATCTGATGGCCCAGTTACCCGATGATTTTACCGTTGTACTGACTCTTCCTTAAACACTATATCATCAGACTGCAAGACGACTAAATACAATCACCAAAGAAACCTGTAAGCGTGTATCTGAATCTTTCTAATTCTCTACCAACGTTTTATCAGAAAATTTACAGAAGGCACACTATTTTGTACTTAAAACAAATTATTCAAAGTGGCTCTAGTAAAAGTGAAGGCCAGATGCATCCATTTGTAGGAAAACTATAAAAAAAATCATGTTAGCATTCAAGAGGGTAGAGAAAAAAAATCAGTAATTAGAAAATGTAGCTTAGTTTCTAGCTTAAGAAAAACCCATACAAGGCTACAAAATTGGACTTCTTCACAACAATATACAAGATATGCAAGAAGTAAAAAGAAGAAAAGGAATGTTTATCATGTTAAGGAGTTCATGACCCCTTCCTCCATCTTCAAGGCCAATAGCGTGGCATCTTCCTATCATTCCCTCTGACCCTCTGCTTCTGCAATCACACTTTCTCTCCTTTCTCTGACCCTCCTGCCCACCCCTCTCCCTTTATAAGGACACCTGGTGATTACATTGGGCCCATCCAGAAAATCCAGGTGGGTTCAGAGGATTAGGTGGTGGACATCTTTGGGGGGACCATTATTCAACCTACCATAGTAAGGAAGTGCAAAAAGAATGATGGGGCTTGTCAAAATGACACAGAAGCCACCTTGAAGGGGTTCCCACTGGCCAAAAATGAGATAGTTTGACCATCAAAACAAATAGTGAAATTCAGTGGGTTGCAATCTGCGACTAAAATAGGACCCCATGAGTCCACGTAGGTGAAAGAAAGAAACAGAAGAGAAGAGAAAGCTCTAAAAGTCTGAAATTAAGGTGTTGGCAGGGCCATGCTCTCTCTGAAGGTTCCAAGGGAAGATCCTTTCTTTCCTCTTCCTAGCTTCTGGCAGTTGCTGGTGATCCTTGGCATTTTCTTTTTCCTTTAATTATCTTATTGAGGTCATACTGGCTTATAACCTTGTGTAAATTTCAAGTGTACATTATTCTATTTTAGCTTCTGTATAGACCGCATCATGTTCACCAATAGTCTAGTTTTATCTGTCACCATATGTATGTGCCCCCTTACCTCTTTCATGCTCCCCCTGCCCCCTTCCCCTCTGGTAACCACCAATCTGTTCTCCTTATCTACTGTTTGTCTGTTTATCTTCCACGTATGAGTGAAATAATGTGGTATTTTTCTTTCTCTATCTGACTTATTTCACTTAGCATAATGCCCTCAAGGTCCATCTGTGTTGTTGCAAATGATACAATTTTGTCTTTTTTTATGGCTGAGTAGTATTCCACTGTATATAAATGCCACATCATCTTTATCTATCCATTGATGGGCACTTAGGTTGCTTCCAAGTCTTAGCTATTGTGAATAATGCTGCAATAAACATAGGGTGCATATATCTTTTTGAAATAGTGATTTTTTGAAATAGTGATTTCATGTTCTTTGGATAAATAAATCCAGTGGAATAGCTGGATCATATGGTATTTCTATTTTTAATTTTTTTTTTTTTTTTTTGGTGAGGAAGACTAGCCCTGAGCGAACATCCAATGACAATCCTCTTCTTTTTGCTGAGGAAGATTGGCCCTGGGCTAACATCCATGCCCATCTTCCTCTACTTTATATGGGACACTAGCACAGCATGGCTTGACAAGCGGTGTGTCAGTCCGCGCCTGGGATCCGAACCTGCAAATCCCATGCCACTGAAGCGGAGTGCGCGAACTTAACTGCTATGCCACCGGGCTGGCTCCTATTTTTAATTTTTTGAGAAATGGCCATACTGTTTTCCGTAGTGTCTGCACCAGTTTGCATTCCCACTGGCAGTGTATGAGGGTTCCCTTTTCTCCACATTCTCTCCAACATTCGTTATTTTTTGTCTTGTTAATTACAGCTATTCTGACAGGTGTAAGATGATATCTCATTGTAGTTTTGATTTGCATTTCCCTGAGAATTAGTGATGTTGAACATCTTTTCCTGTGCCTGTTGGCCACCTGCATACCTTCTTTGGAAAAATGTCTGTTCATATTCTCTGCCCATTTTTTCATCGGGTTATTCATTTTTTTGTTGTTGAGTTCTTTATATATTTTAGAAATTAACCCCTTGTCAGATATATGATTCGCACATATTTTCTCCCAGTTGGTGGGTTGTCTTTTTGTTTTGTTTCTGGTTTCTTTTGCCATGCAGAAGCTTTTTAGTCTGATGTAGTCCCATTTGTTTATTTTTTCTTTTGTTTCCCTTGCCCGAGGAGACATGTTATTCAAAAAGATACTGCTAAGACCAATGTCAAAGAGTGTACTGCCTATGTTTTCTTCTAGGATTTTTATGGTTTCAGGTCTTACATTCAAGTCTTTAATCTATTTTGAGTTAATTTTTGTGTATGGTGTAAGATAATGGTTTGCTTTCATTCTTTTGCATGTGGCTGTCCCGTTTTCCCAGCACCATTTACTGAAGAGACTTTCCTTTCTCCATTGTATGTTCTTAGCTCCCTTGTTGAAGATTAGCTGTCCAAAGATGTGTAGTTTTATTTCTGGGCTCTCAATTCTGTTGCATTGATCTGCGTGTCTGTTTTTCTGCCAGTACTATGCTGTTTTGATTACTACAGCTTTGTAGTATATTTTGAATTCGGGGAGTGTGATACCTGCTGCTTTGTTCTTTTTTTCCAACAAAAAGAACTGCAATCTTTGGCATTTTTCAGTTTGCAGCTGCATCACTGCTATCTTTTCCTTTGTCATCACATGGCATTCTCCCTCTGTGTCTATCTGTATCCAAATTTCCCTCTTAGAAGGATATCAGTCATTGGATTAGGGCCCACCCTAGTCCAGTATGACCTCATCTTAACTTAATTACATCTGCAAAGATCTTACTTCCAAATAAGATCCCATTCACAGGTACCAGGGGTTAGCATTTCAAGGTATCTTTTTTGGGGGGTGGAGGAGGGAGAGACATAATTCAATTTCTAACGGAGACTTTGTTAAAGATTTTTACATTTATGTTCAAGACATATTAGTCTGTAATTTGCTGTTCTTGTAATGTCTTTGTCAAGTTTTGAGATCAGGATTTTTCTATCTTTCTAATGTAAATTGGAAGTGTTCCCTCCTCCTTTGTTTTCAAAAAGAATATTAAATGTTTGATAGAATTCATTGCTGAAGTTATCTAGGCTAGTGTTTCTTGGTGAGAAAGTTTTGAATTAAAAATTCACTTTTTTGACAATATAGGGCTATCATCTTCCCTCCTCTGAAGTTATTGCTAAGCATCCAGTATCGCTAATAAGAAGCTAGATGTCTACTTAATTCTAGTAGTCGCCCCTCAGTATCCACAGGGGATTGGCTCCAGAACTCCCCTAGGATGCCAAAATCCAAGGATGCTCAAGTCCTTTATTATAAAATGGCGTAATATTTGCATACAACATACGCACATCCTCCCGTAAACTTTAAATCATCTCTAGATTACTTATAATACCTAATACAATGTAAATGCCATGTAAATAATTATTATACTGTATTGCTTAGGAAATAATGACAAGGAAACAAAGGCTGTACATGTTCAGTATAGCTGCAACCATTGTAGGCTTTCTGATCCGTGGTTGGCTGAATCCTTGGAGGCAGAACCCGTAGATATGGAGGGCCAACTGTACTACTGTAGATAAACTTTCTCTCCAGGAAGTTTATCTCCGGAAATTTTAAGGATTTTTCATTTTATCCTTGGTGTTTTACAATTACAGAAAGATGGTGTAAGTGTAGATCTATTTTCATTCATCCTATTTAGCACTGGTGGGGCCCATATAATCTGTGGACTCTTGTTTTCTACTTTTTCCATGCTTCTTTCTTTCTTTAGGGTTTCTTCCCTTCTCTTCCTTCTGTTCACTTCTTCTACTATAAGACTCATGTTAGAACTTCTAGATCTAGCTTTCATTTCCCCTAACTTTTCTTACATGTGTTCTATCTCTGTCTTTTTGCTCCGTAATCTAGAAGAATTGCTTGACTCTTTCTTTTACATGAAAACTTTGCTCTTTGTTACCCAGCCTGTCTCTGGAGTTTTTCATTTTCTGGCTCTCTAATGGATTCTTTTCCTAGTAGTCTGTTCTTGTTTTCAGGATCCTATAACCTCACTTACCTTTTGAAAATATTATTCATATTTCTTTAAAAATCTCCTTTACTCTTTTCTATTAATTGTTTTCTCTGATGTTAATTCTTTTTTGTTGTTGTTGTTGAGTTCCTACAGCTCTTGTAACAAATTATCATAAACTTAGTGGCTTAGAACAACAGAAATTTATTCTCTTATACTTCTGGAGGCCATAACTCTGGAATCAGTATCACTGGTCCAAAATCAAGATGCCAGTAGGGCCATACTCCCTCCAGAGGCTTTAGGGGAGAATCTATTCCTTGCCTCTTCCAGCTTCTGGTGGCTCCAGCATTCCTTAGCCTGTGACCACATCACTCTGTCTCTTCTGTCTGTGTCAGATTTCCTTTTGCTTCTTTCTTATAAGGACACTTGTGATTTGGGCCCAACTGGATAATCCAGGTAATCTCTCCATCTCAAAATTCCTTAATTTAATCACAGCTTACAAAGATCCTTTTCCCCATATAAAGTAACAGTTATAGGTTCCAGGGATTAGGACTGATATCTTTGAGGGCCATTTTCATAGTATTTATTTTCCTAAACTGTTCAATAATTATTTTTGTTGAGTATTCATCTGTCTTCAAATACCTTTCATGCTTATCTCAGCCTACTGCAGTGATTATTCAAAGCAGGGGGAGGTGCAAGTATTTAATGTTCTGAGCAACAGAGGGACTTTCTCCTCGATTTCAGCAAAAATTTGGAGCTCTGTCTTGCTTCTTTGCTTCCAGTATTTTCTAGTATTTATTGCTCTTACTTGAGAGTAGACACCTCTGTTGGCTGCAGTTTGGTACGATGGGAATAAGACTGTAAGGGTTAAACCACCTTGTTAGATCAGCAATGATACCCAAAGAGGGGGTACCACAGAAGGGTACCCAAGGCTCCCTTCTTTTTTTAGTATCTGCTGACTCTAAGCTTAGAATATCCAGAAGCTGCCGCTACCTTTTTCAATAGTCTTTTCCTGACTGAGTTTAGCTTGGTTTCTTCCTCCAATCTGATCCCAATTGCCTTTTCTCTTTCAGGGTTCCTCATAATTTCTGGGACACAGAGAGAATTCTTGCTTTCCAAAATTTTTATGGGTTTCTTTAAAACATAATTTTTGGATATTCTTTCCCCCCAAAAGATTTGAGAAACACTTGGAAGGGCAGAGTATGTACATCATTTGCAACCAATCAATCTTTAAATCACATGTAATGCCTTTTCCTCACATGATTGCCATCTTATCTTTATTTGTGCCTACCAAGTTGTGTGGCTGAATCTGTCCTAAGTGGTTCAAAATTTAAAAAATATTTTAATAAGTAACTAGATCATACAAAGTTCTGAAAACTTAAATTATCCTCATCTTCTGAAGCGTTTTTATTATATATTATTACATAATATATATTATATATCAGGCCACTCCATTTCATTAAATGAGTCAGATAAATAGGTAAAAAGCAAATATACATAGCAATGAGATTGAGAAAAATTACTATGTGATTGAGGAGACTTTTACTTGTGGCAAAGCTAAGACAATATTCTGAAGAACTGCTCTTAAGATGAAAAAAATAATATCCTACTTTTTTCCAAGATTGGTTAATAATGTCTGAAAAAAATTTTTTTCAAGTAGTTGTGCTATACCAAGGAACAAAAAGATGAAAGGTTTTGGATACAGCTAAGTGCTTTAAGAAAAAACAAAAATGCTGTGTACAATTCTATTTTTAGAATTAAGAAAATAGCATAGATTTAAGATTGGATCATTCTTAGGTTAACTACCACCACATGTGGCAGATGTTTGCTCTTAAATAGATGCCAACTGAATATATAGGGAGCAATTCAAATTTAACATTTATAATTACACTTGAACCTCATTCCAGATCTTCTCAAGTGAGCAGTTATAAACTAAATAAGCTTTGTTTATTTAGAGGCATAAATAGAGTAGTAATTGATACCCTAAGGATACAAAAGAATTAATGCAATCTTAGATGAATACTAAAACACCAGCACAGTAGGTACTGGGGTGTCTCTGGGTCCCAGTTTCATTATGTACAACATGAAATGGTTACATCAGATATCCCTAATGGCATTTCTCCCCAGTCTTCTTCATGTCATGGCACATATAGAAAATGGTAATATATGAACATCTACCTGGAGTAAACAGAGGTTGTTACTCAAGGCTGGAAGCCGGCTGCCCAGAGAGCTGTAGGATCAATGTCTCAGTGCACCTGTATCCCATCTGTGGCATACCATCATGTCTTGGCCCACAGTTTGGCGGAGCTGTGACCTTGCTACTCAAATTGTGGTCTACAGACTAGTAGTGTTGGCACTCCTGGGAGCTTGTTAAAAATGCAGAATCTTGGGCTCCATTCAGACCCACTAATCAGAATCTGTGCTTTGAAGATCCCTAGGGTGATTCATGAGCACACTAAAGTTTAAGAAGACTGCTCTAAGAAACTTTCAGCTCTACAATTCAATGAATCTAAGAATGTGTTTTATGGAAGTATATTCCAGAGTATATTTCATAATCTTATTAAATTCCATATTATAGTTAGAATAAAATTAAAAACATATTTTTATACATATTTGTTCCTAATTTTTGAAAACAGACAAATGTTTACTTCTTAATTAGAAAAAGGGGAATATATTTACCTGCTTGTATACCTGTCGTAAGTACATGATCTCCTCCACAGTTCCCAAGGAGATGAGTCGAAGCACTTTGACATCCCTGCATTGCCCAATCCTATATGCTCTGCAAAAAGATTAAAAACAAAGCAAATAAAAATCATGTGAAACAACTTTGGGTTCAGGAGGTAGCTTTTGGACAGAAAAATGGAACATTACTAAAATTTTAATTAATTTAAAAAGGAACATTTTAGGTTTAGATATGCTATATTATTTAATAATAATCCAAAAATAGAAATTCATATAAAAAGACCAGTCATTGAGGAGAAAAGCATTATGGAAAAAATTTACATATCAACTTCATTTCTGTTTTTAGAGATCATCTTGCATTGTCTAAAAACTTTTCCTAAATTCAGATTTTTATTTTACAGCAGTCTTAAGCTTATGAATAGGTTGTGTTCCGAAATGATTTCATTTATACAAAACTCTCAAAAATGCAAACTAATCCATAGCAACAGAAAGCAGATTAGTGGTTGCTTGGGAATAGGGACATGGGGAGGGGCAGGAGGGATGGACTACAAAGGGGTGCAAGGAAAATTTGGGGAGTGATTAATATGTTTACTACCTTGACTGGTGGTTTCACGGGTGTACATGTATCAAAATTTATCCATCATACACTTTTAAATATGTGCATTTTATTGTACATTAATTATACCTCAATAAAACTGTTAAAGAAAACACCTGGGGAAAAAACAGTTAATCACCTGGCCAGCCTATGGAAGTGCAGATTTATAGCCCTCATCCACAGAGATGTCCATGCACTGGGTCTGATTGAATCACTCAGTTGACTAGTACTCCAGATGTTCTGATACGGACCATAGTGCTAATTAAAACTCTAACATGACTGCCACACTGGTTAACTATGGGTCTAGTCCCTACAGCTTCTCCCAGGTGGAGGCTTTACTGGATGCTCTGAATGAGGTCACCTGTTTCTAAATACCTGTTACAGTCATGGGGCGATCAGGGGCAAGGCCGCACTGCCCCATACTTGAGAATGTTATAATCTGGGGGAAACTTAATTTTGATCTTGTAAAGTCACTCTATGTTCTTATGTTTGGTGCTCCCTCCACCTCCTTCACCCATTCATCCTCACAGAGAAGGGCTTTCACTAGAGGGCAAACTGGGGTTCCGAAAATTGTACACCCCAGAGGAGAATGGGGGCTCCTGTGACACAGCACAGATGGGGGTAAATTACTGCATTCTCACTTCCAGCCTGCAGCCTGGATACAGAGGGGCTCATAATCTCTTTTTCTCCCACAATGGATTTGGGTTCCAGAAACAATGAAAAATCAGTCTCAGGAAATGTCTTTTGGGTGTATGCTCAGCCAATTGTTTGGTGAATGGGATAGATTCTGTTAGAATACATATTCTCTCATCTTTACAGACAAATCCTTACATACATGTTACTTTGGACCTATGCTTCATCAATTTCTTGGTCCATAAAGCAGGGATATGTTAAGTGATGATGTTTAGGGTGTGAGACAAGCGCTGATAAACTGTTATGCAGTATAGAAGTCAATATCTTCATTTCTCTTCTTGGTTCCTCCTGCCAGACTCAATAGAAGGAGAGGGAGAGGAAGAGGAATGCTGTTCATTTAGTTTTATTGTCAACTAACTTTTATGGAGTATCAAGCACAGTGAGTGCACTGTGCTTTGAGGGAATACTGGGATAAATAAACATATATATATGTATGGGATATCTCATAAAGATACTCTGAGTATTAAATGAGATAATCCATGGAAAGCACTTAGAACAGTTCCTGGCTCATAGTAAACATGCAATAAATGTTGCTGTTATTTCTTTGTCCTTATTAATACTGCCAATTACAGAACAGGGTAATTTGCTTTGCTTTGTACCCTGCACAGCATTATATGTCTTATAACTAGGGTGATCTTAATCACAGAGTGTATTATAAGCTGAATTATATCTATCAAGCAAACAGTAACGGATAATTTAAATTTCTCTAAGGGGAAAATCCACAGCTGATTTGCTTTGAATGCCTTAGTATCTAACGTGACATCTTGTAAATACTAAGAGGTCAACAGTATTTTTGATATTTATTTGTATAACATTGAAAAATAAATGAAGTATCTCCATTTTAAAAAGAACAACCCCCAAAACAACTGGGCCTAAGTCCTTTATAAAGCTGTACATCTCTGACTATCCTTTCAGTTTCTTCTATGATTATTCGATTATTTTTTTTTTACTTCATCTTTAGTCAATCTTAATCATTTATATTCTTCTAGAAAAAGGTCTTTTTCATGTAGATTTCCATATGTATTTGTATAAAACTATACATAAAAATGTTAGATATTATAAATAAATGATACTTGGCCTTTCTGCTTCCTAAGATTTCCTGTGTATATGCCTTTTTTCCTTAGATTAAACTTTTCAAAGTTTGTCTATTTTACTCTTTTCAATGAATGTTTTAAATTTTTGATTTATGTTTCTATTTTATTTTAATAATTTATCTTTATACAATTTCCTCTATTTTCTTTAGGTTTACTTTGTTGCTCTTTTTCTGGTTTTCTAAATGACATCCTTCTTTCACTTGCTTTCAGTTTTTCTTTTCCAAGAAGTAAATTTAAAACTCTAAATTAGTATCAGAATTTAAATATTGTTTCATAGTAATTTCACTGTTATTTATTTCTAAATAATCAGTTTTTCTCTCTTGATTTCCTCTTTTTTATTGTTGTAAAATATACATAACAAAATTTAATCATTTTAACCATTTTTAAATGTACAGTTCAGTGACATTAAGCACATTCACACTGTTGTGCAACCATCACAACTATCCATTTACAAAACTTTTTCATCTTCCCCAAATGAAACAAAGTACCCATTAAATAATAACTTCCCATTCCCACCCCCAACCCTTGGTAAGCACCAGTCTACTTTCTGTCTCTATGATTTTGGCAACCCTAGATACCACTTATTAGCGAAATCATATATTTGTCCTTTTGTGGTGAAAACAAGCATCCTTTCCTTCTTGCTGTTCTTAGAGAAAAAATTTTCAGTCTTTTACCATTGAGTATGATGATAGCTGTGGTTTTTTCATAAATGGCCTTTATTAAGCTGAGGTAGTTTCCTTCTATTCATAGTTCGTTGAGTGTTTTTATCATGAAAGGGGGTTGAATTTTGCCAATTGCCTTTTCTGTATCAATTGAGATGATCATGTGGTTTTTTTCCCTTCATTCTGTTAATGTGATGTACGACACTGACTGATTTTATAGGATGTTGAACCATCCGAGCATACCAGGAATAAATCCAACTTGGTCATGATGTATCATTCTTTTAATATGCTGCTTAATTCAGTTTGCTGGTATTTTATTGAGAATTTTTGCATTAATATTCATAAGAAATACTGGTCTGTAGTTTTTTTTTTTTCCTTGCAGGATCTTTGTCTTGTTTTGGTATCAGAGTAATACTGGTCTCATGGAATGAGTTAGAAGTGTTCCCTCGTCTTCAATATTTTGGAAGAGTTTGAGAAGGGCTGGTGTTAATCTTTGGATGTTTGGTAGAATTCACCAGTGAAGTCATCTGGTCCTGAGCTTTTGTTTGTTGGAAAGTTTTTGATTATTGATTTAATCTCCTAGTCATTAGAGGTCTATCAAGATTTTCTATTTCTTCATGATTCAGTCTTGGTAGGTTATATTTTTCTAAGAATTTGTCCATTTCATCTAGGCTATGCAATTTGTTGGCATACAATTGTTCATAGTGCTCTCTTAGAATCCTTTATTTCTATTTTTGCCAAAAACATCACTGGAATCTTTATAGGGATTACACTGGATTAGTAGATAGCTTTGAACAGTACTGACATCTTAACAATAGTAAGTCTTCCAATTAGTGAACACAGGATGTTTTACCATTTATTTGCGTCATCTTTAATTTCTTTCAGCAATATTTTGTAGTTTCAGTGTACAAGTCTTCTGCCTCCTTGGTTAAATTTATTTCTACATGGTTTTTTTTTTGGGAGGGGGGATGCTACTGTCAAGCAGAATTGTTTTCTTTTCAAACTTTTCATTGCTAGTGTATGGACATGCAACTGATTTTTTGCATGTTGACCTTGTATCCTACAACTTTCCTGAATCAGTTTATTAGCTGTAACAGCTTTTTTGTGTGGAATCTTCAGGGTTTTCTACATATAAAATCATGTCACCTGTGAATAGAGATAATTTTACTTCTTCCATTCCAATTTGGATGCTTTTTATTTCTTTTTCTTACTAATTGCTCTGGCTAGGACTTAACAGTACTATTTTGTAGAGAAGTGGTGAAAGCAGGCATCTTTGCCTTGCTCCTGATCTTAGAGGAAAGTGTTCAGTCTTTCACCATTGAGTATGATGTCATCTGTAGGTTTTTCATAAATGGGCTTTATGTGGAGAGAATTTCCTTCTATCTTTAGTTTGTCGAGTGTTTTTATCAGGAAAGAGTTTTGAATGTTGGCAAATGCTTTTTCTGCATCAATTAAGATGACCATATGTTTTTTCCTTCATTCTGTTAATGTAGTGTATTACATTGATTGATTTTTGTATGCTGAATGATCCTTGCATTCCATGAGTAAATCCCGCTTGATTATGGTGTTCCATTCTTGTAATATGCTGTTGAATTTGGTTTGCTAATATTTTCTTGAGGATTTTTGCATCAGTATTCATGAGGATTTTGGTTAGTAGTTTTCTGTTCTGATAGTGTCTTTGTCTGGCTTTGGTCTGGCCTCATAGAATGAGGTGGGAAGTGTTCCTTCCTCTTGAAATTTTTGGTAGAGTTTGAGAAAGACTGGTATTAATTTCTTCTTTAAATGTTTGGTAGAATTTACCAAGGAAGCCATCTGGTCCTGGGTTTTTGTATGTTAGCATTTTTGCCAACATTTACTGATTCAATCTTCTTACTAGTAAGTCTAGTTATATTTTCTATTTCCTCATGATTTAGTCTTGGTAGCTCATATTTTTCTAGGAATTTGCCCATTTCATTTAGGTCATCCAATTTGTTGGTGTACGACTATTTATAGTAGTGTCTTATAATCCTTTTCATTTCTGTAAAATCAGTAGTAATGTCTTCCTTTTCATTTC